TTTTACTTAATAATTCTGCATACGTTTTATTTATGAATTACACTGCAAAACCTAAGAAACTACAAGTGAATACACCTGTGTATTTTGTTTATGCACTGGTTAGGAAAATACAGATCAGGTAAACCTCTGCATTAAAGTATAAAAAACAGAATTTTACCTGTGTCTTTCCTTCAGCTGAATATTTACAAGGATTGAATGAAAAATGTTGCTTCCAAAGTTGTAAGTCACTGACAGGTAGACGTACTGATATGCTAGAAGCTCTTACTGTAGTATTTCTTAGCCTCTGTTCTTTGACTTCAATTGGCAGGAAGTTGCTATGAGAAAAGGTTCTATTGCTCTTGTTTGTGAAGTGAAAGCCTGCAGTAAGTGCATTTTAAGTGATGTGACATGATTAAATTTTGATTGCCAAGGGATCCTTGAAATTCAACATCAAATTCAGGTTGTTTATGATGACGCTGAAGTGAGTATTGTACATTGCTAGTCCAAAAAAATGTAAAGGTGATATACTCAAAAAGAATATATGGAGAGAGCGACACCCAGAGATGAGACAATATACATTTCACTCTTGCAGGCATAAGTCATGGTCGTGGATCGACATGGCCTGGATGACACTACAATTAAGGGAATACGTTTCTGAGACAGAAATTGGGGTTAATGATTGGGCTGATCACAGCCCCTTGCTTGTAACATGGAGGGGCCAACAGAAAAGGAAAAGATAGAAGATGGATGTGAGGGTGCTGAAGGATGAGGAAGTTGTGACCTAGATTAAGAGAGAAACAGAATATTTCTCTAAAGAGAATAAGAAAGAGGATATGAACCTGCAAAATAATTGGGATACTTATAAGGAGCTAATTAGGGGATTGGTAATAAAATATACAATAAGGAAGCGAAGACTGGAAAGGAAGGAACGATCAAATTTAATGGATGGTTTAGAACAGGTGGGAAAAGGATTACGAAACAAACCGATGGATCAGGCATTATTAGAGGAAAAAAATTCAATTTGCCATAAAATAAATTTAATGGACGAAGAAGAAGTAGCTGAAAAATGCAGGTGGGTCAAACAAGGTTATTTTGAAAACGCTAACAAGCCGGGAAGATGGCTAACCTATAGAATTAAAAAGTTAAAGGGAAGAAGTAAAGTAGGTGGTTTGAAGGATGCGAATGAAAGATGGGTAACTGACAGGGAAGGTATGAAGGGAATCGTACAGAAGTTCTTTACAGATTTATACAAGAGAGAGGAAGGGTCAGAACAAGAGATGGAGAAATATATAGAGGGGCTGGATCTTCCAAAAGTGCCAGAAGAGGTAAGACAAATACTTAACAGGGAAATTTCAGAGAAGGAGTTGGAAGAGGCAATTGGAAGGCAGAAATTAGGGAAAACTCCGGGGACAGATGGGATTCCTATGGAATTCTATAAGGAAACTCTTGATATAGTGGGACAATATATGACTGAAGTCTTTAATGGAATCATCGTGGAGGGTCGGATCCCAAATTCCTGGACGGAGGCATATATTTCCTTGATCCCCAAGGCAGAAACAGATTCATCAGTGATCCACAATTACAGGTCTATATCCCTTTTGAATACCGATTATAAGATCTTCAATTCAATTTTAGCAGGGAGAATGAAATTTTTTTTAAACCACTACATACATAGAAACCAGAATGGGTTCTTGCCACATAGATAAATAAGGGATAATGTGAGGACGATAATAGATGCAATGGAGTACTATGAGACCATTTCGGATAAGGAAGTAGCATTTATTTTTGTAGATGCTCAGAAGGCCTTCGATAGGGTTAGGTGGAAATTTATGTTTGCCTTGTTAGTTAAGATGGAATTTGGAGATAATTATATACGGGCGATAAGATCGATCTACTCAACTCAAATAGCTAGAGCTTTAATTAATGGGGAAGAAACGGGTAGGATTGAAATTGGAAAAGGCTCAAGACAAGGATGCCCACTGTTCCCACTTCTATTTATATTTACACTAGAACCTCTGCTACGGGAAATCAGGAAGAATCAGGGAATAAAGGGGCTGAAGGTGAGATCTGAAGAATATAAAACTCAGGCATTCGCGGATGACTTGGTTTTTATCGTAGAGGATCCATTAGAATCAGGTAAAACTTGCTTCAGGAGATAGAGAAGTATGGTAGAGTTGCAGGTCTCTGAATCAACAAAGACAAGACGAAGATTATAATAAAGAATATGACACGAAATTGTTGGAGTGAATTGGAGAGATAATTGGGCCTTTAAGTGACTAAAAGAATAATATACTTGGGTATTTGGATGTCTTTTAAAAATACGTCTATTATGGCAGATAATTACACAAAGTTGTTAGGCCAAACAAAGACAGACCTAGAAAAGTGGGAGCACCTGCAACTCTCCTTACTTGGTAGGATAGCTACGATTAAAACCCATGTACTTCTGAAATGGAACTATTTATTTCAGACTGCCCCCGCGAGACTGGATAGTGGTTTTTTTAAACTGCTAGATAGTTATGTGAGGAAATTTGTGTGGCAGAAGAAGCAGCACCAGATAAAACTTAAAATGCTCCAAGAGGCTCCATGTAGAGGGGGATTTGGTCTACAGAAAGGGGAGTTTTACTACCAAGCAGCTAATTTAACTTGGATCAGAGACTGGATGCTTTTAAATAGGAAGAGGACTCTTACATTGGAGGGTTATGATTTGTGTCACAGTTGACACCATTTTCTATGGAGTGAGAGGGGCAAGAAATGTGGACAGTTTAAGAGACACTACCTTCGGAGAATATTATTACAATCTTGGGAAGGGGTTAGGAACAGGCATTATTCAATGATTCCGATTTGGTTTGCCCCATTATTTATTTATTTATTTATTTATTTATTTATTTATTTATTTATTTATTTATTTATTTATTTATTTATTTATTTATTTATTTATTCATTCATTCATTCATTCATTCATTCATTCATTCATTCATTCATTCATTCAATTTATATACCGCCCTTCCCCTAGTGGACTCAGGGCGGTGCACAGCCAAAACCAAAATACATAACAATACAAAATTTAAAATTAATTAAAAGAATTATATACTTTGGCCCGAATTAAAACAGTGCGAATTAAAACCCATTAACAATTAAAACTAAACAATTAATAACCATTAAAAACTAAAAAAGGGGGGCGGGGTTCACGCCAGCCCTGCTTGCTGGAAAAGAAGAGTTTTCAGGGCTCGGCGAAAGACCCGAAGATCCGATATCCTTCTTATCTCCAGGGGCAAATCATTCCAGAGGGCGGGGGCTGCCACAGAGAAGGCCCTCCCTCTGGGGGTCGCCAGCCGACATTGCCTGGCCGACGGCACCCTGAGGAGTCCCTCTCTGTGGGAGCGTACTGGACGGTGGGAGGCTATCGGCGGCAGAAGGCGGTCCCGCAAGTACCCAGGTCCTATGCCATGGAGCGCTTTAAAGGTGGTAACCAACACCTTGAAGCGCACCCGGAAGACCACTGGAACCAATGCAGCTCACGCAGGAGAGGTGTCACATGGGAGCGACTCCTCGCTCCCATAATCCCCCGCGCGGCCGCATTCTGCACCAGTTGGAGCCTCCGGGTACTCCTCAAGGGGAGCCCCATGTAGAGAGCATTGCAGTAGTCCAGGAGGGAAGTGACGAGTGCCTGAGTGACTGTGCGTAAGGAATCCCGATCCAGAAAGGGACGCAACTGGCGAATCAGGCAGTAACACATGCGACACTATACAATAAGGAAATACCATTGACTTATCACGATTTGCTTGACCCTCAAGGGGAATTGAAGACCCGAGAGGAGCTTACAAAACAGGGCAAAAAGGTAGACTGGTGGGCGTATGCCCAAATACAATCGAGAGTCAGAAGGGACAAAGGAAAGGAGGAAATATATAGGTCATTACAGGAGTTAGATAAAATCTTATTGGGAATCGAAAAGAAATTACTTTCAAGGTGCTACCAGTTTTTGGTATCACGATGGATTGGTGAGGAGGTGATTAAGGACACTATGATTGCCTGGGGGAGGAACTTCGGATTTTTTTCCAAATTTGGATAAATGGGATGAGATATGGAATAGGAATATGAAACTTACTTTGTCAACCTCCTACAAGGAAAATATTTATAAAATGGTCTATCGTTGACATATCCCCCCGGCAAGAATCGCAAGAATGTTCCCGGGAGTTTCTCCAGCATGCTGGAAGTGTGGGAATGGTTGTGGGACGTACTACCACCAATGGTAGACGTGCCCCAAAGTAGGCAAATATTGGTCCAAGGTTCGGAACTGGATAGTGGAAATTACAGGATATAATATAGAGCTGAAACCAGCGATTTTTTTATTAGGAATGAAACCAGACAAAATAACTAAGGAAAAATGGTACTTGATCCTCCACATCACTACTGCAGCTAGGATACTATATGCGCAAGAATGGAAAAACGAATTAATACCCACAGAAAATAAATTGATTTGGAAAATTACAAAATGCGCAGAGGCAAACCGGTTAACAAAATTACTTAGGAATCAAAAAGATTCTGATTATTACAAATGTTGGAATTTATGGTATAATTGGGTGAAAGAAAAGAGAGGGAAATGAAATGGATTGTATTAGTGGTATAGGCGCAGATTTGTATACGTTAGTTGCAATAACATTGTATGTATGTATATGTAAAGTATTGTATTTTTAAAAATGAAAATAAACTTTGTTTAAAAAAAAAAGAATTTTTTTTTCAAATTAGTGGAAAGAACTGTTAGGACCTCATTGAAGAAACAAAATGTGGAGTTCTTTCATGATAGCTTTAAAAGTTGTCCAGCATTGGCAGACATATGTAGTAACTGGAGTTGATTGCTTGGAGACATCAATACTAACAATAAAATAATTCTTTTAAGGATAATTTTTTACTTCATCTATTAAAACATCTCTATTTAAACTGAAACTATGAGTGGTGTTATTTTTCATTCAATCCTTGCATGTGTCAAACTGCTAAAGAAATTTGGTATATGAATTACTTACATAAAGAGTACAATTCCTGTGTTGGCCAAAGCAAAGGCAAGACCCAATATTCCACTGCCCATGATAGCATTACTAAGGTTGAAGACAGACATTCCCAAAGATGTTGTGCCTGGACTCTGTAAGAGAGAATGAGGGAAGAAGGGAAATAAAGGAAGAAGGCAACTTAATTTCAAAGCTTGGCAACTGTAAGCGTTCTATTCAATGTTCATTTTGAGAAGTCACTTCGACATTACATTAGTCACTTGTATGCTGAATCTAACATTCAGTTATCTGCCCAGTGGAGTTCAGTAATAGAAAAAAAATGACAAGTAAATCAGTAAAGATAACATCTTTATGGGTCATCTTTATCTGTGGATCTTGACATACATCTATTCATTACAGCCATATATCATACTGGTCATAAAGTGGATCATCATGTGAACCTTCTGATTTTATGATTTTTGCACCAGTCATTAAGTGAATCACCATAGTTAAGTCAATCAAATCATTAAACAAATGCCATGGTCATGAAGCAAACCCATTGTTTGCTAAGGTGTTTTATTTCCAAAAAGTGAAAGTAAAAGCCAATTTGGGACAAAAATGTCATAAATCATAGTCATATAAACACAAGCCAGTTGCTGAACACTTGAAATGCGGTCACATGACCACAGGAGGGGGAGTGAGACATCTATTCAAAGTTTGAACCTAATAGAAAATAACTTTTGGGGGTTCTTTGTAGCTTTGAGTGGTGGTTAAGCTATCAATTGTAAGTTGAAGACTACCTACCCTGTTTCCCCCAAAATAAGACATCCCCTGATAATAAGCCCAATTGGGCTTTTGAGTGCATAGCAATAAGGCCAAGAGCTTATTTCAGGATTCAAAAAAAATAAGACAGGGTCTTATTTTCGGGGAAACACGGTATATGTTAACTGCATAATAAAACAAAGAGACCACATCCATGTGGCCAATCCATTTTCCTACGTGCTATATCCACATATTCATTATTTTTAATGCAATCCCTAGTAATATATAGCTATTTAGTACTTATCAACTGGGTCCCATTGTATCCTGTTAAATTTCATTATCACCTCAATCTTTGTCAATTAAGGTTCACCTCAATTGTTTAAAAGCCAAATTCATGCATTTCTTTATTTTTACACAACACATCTCAAAGCTTCATGGTTATGAAGATGTCTTTTACAAGTAGGATCATAGTAATTGACTCTAAGAGGATTGGTAGAAATCAATATGGTGAAAATGTTAAAAGAGGTGGAATACTAAAAGTAGGATGGCACGGCTTCCTATTTCTGCTCATCCATGTCTTGCCTGGACTTGTTAAGAGTGGAACATGCTCAGTTGTACCAAATATGTTGATTCTACCAGCAGGACTCACACAAAGCCTTTTATTAGCTTAGGGTACATCATGTCATTTAAATCCAGAAGCTCTCACTACAACTCATTGGAGAGTGTAATCATAAGTTTTAGAAGGCAATAATGGAATTTAAATATGACCACCATATCTAGCAGCCATTGAGAACCTTACCTATTAATAACTAATTTCCTTTTCAAGCCCTTGAAAATGTTAGACAGTAAAATCTTATAATTTAACTGTTTGAACAAATACAATTGTTTAACTGCCTTCACCATTTGTCTCCAGTAGATAAATTTGGAATTCTGGAAGAAAAATCCCCTGCTTCCTACCTTATCCACAGTGCATTCACTGATCATTAGGAAGATTAACCGTGGGCTGCAGAGAATTATGCAACTTTCATTGAAGGAAGGCAAGAACATAAATATAAATGAAACATAAATGAAACACAGATGAACAGTCCTGGAAAGGGTAGCTAATGGCAAAGCTTCTTCTTGCATAGGACATCCTGGTAAGTTTCAGTTTATGTACACCTGCAACGTTGAAGAATAAACCTCTATAAAGTGAGGAGAGGAACCTACGTATTCATCACACTTCTTCTTTTCCAAATGGCTGTTAGTTAGGCTTCTTCTGCTCTCACGGTCTGCGATGAACTTGCTGAAAGGACACAAGAAAGCAGGATTTTTTAAAAAAAATCATGAGGCATAGCATGAATGTACTTTATCACCTGTTATTGCTGTAGAATGCTGTGACATTTCAATGTGGATTTTGATTTTTTTTCATTAAACCACATTGTACACTGACATTTGAGAAGACGGCATAGGTAAACAAATATTACAGATGGAGGATATAATAAGAGACTATCAAAGACCTGAAAAGACATTCATGTATGGTTCTGTTCTCTAATACACTGCTTAGAAATAATCCCCTGACATGGCTACTTTGCAACAGGAGTAGTTTTCTTAGTCTTTTTTTTCTTTAGTATGACTTGGAAATGCAAATCGTGAAATAAAGAACAAGTCCAGAATGTCGGAGGAGTATGAATTTGCCAGTCTTGGGCTGTAGACTGCAGAGTCAGCATTGCTCCATTTTCACAAAATTCTTGACAGGAATGACTTTGTTAATGCAGAGAATCCAAAGCATTTTAACAGTAATTAAACTAAACTAAATAAATTTTTTAAAAAATAGAAAGGAAAAAATAGTTCAAAAATTTAAAAAAAACAAATGTAGAAAAAATAATAAATATATAAAGAAATGATTTCTCCCTTCATAACAATAATTAGGAACAATTTTAGTAACATCACCTTCTCTTATAATACAACAAATGTTTCCTTCTTCTAAAATCTCATCTTATCCATATACAAATCCATAAAACTTTGTCATTTCAGACTTGATATCCATTAAGGTTTACCAGAAAAAACAATATATCTAATAAACCAACTTTGTGTGCTTTCCTTTTGCTGTTAACAATCTTGTTTTTATATTTCTTCCCTTTACTTTTCACAATCTTGATGCTTAATACTCTCAAATAAAGTCCTAGAGATTGATTTCTTTTCACTTGTTTTATTATTTCTCACAGAACTCTTCAAAATGTTAAACAAGTCTCTTTTGTGAATCCAATGTAAGAAAGTAATTCAGGTCACTTGTTAAGACATCAGCTGGTTTTATTTCTATATCCACTTTAGCATCCCCTTTCACCTGACATTTTTAAATCCATTTTCAAATCAGATTAAGGCCTATGAGGTAAAAATTGCTCCTCTTCCAAATCATCTTGGTAAGATAGTTGGGTGGTATCACTGATTGATGGCTGAGCCCCTTTCCTCTTTGGGGCCCTAAGGAACATGTTGGGATGGCAGAGTGAAGGTGCAGTTTTTCTTGCAGTCCATGGTTTCCTTCTCCCTGCAGGCAGTCCTGTGGGTCAACTGAGGAGAAGGAGGAAGAGTGATTTCTGGAGCTCTCTGCCAAGCAAAGTCAATAGGTAAATTGACTTTGGTACTCCTGCTCCCACTCTGTCTGCCTGCGGTCATTCTGTTTCTCTCTTTAGATAAAGATGAAATGAAATGAAATGAAATGATGACATAATGGCTCACAAGTTGTCTGGTCTACTTCTAAATTTGAACCTAAAGCTCTGTAAGAGTTTTTGGCATATATTTGTTCTCACTTATTTATTTAGCATATGGCACATGTTAGCCAGGGACCACTGAGATGGCTGGTTACCTCTGTGAAAGGAATTTTTTCAGGCAGTATTATCTTACCTGCAGGACGCCTCAATGCCGGTAGGCAATCACGGGAGGCTCCTTTCTTGTCCCTCTGCAGTTTATTCACTCATGGGAATCAAGCCGCCGAGCTGTCAACCTTAGCGGTGCACAGACCTAGCATCTTAACACGTAGCCACCATGGCCCCTATTCTCACTGATATTATTCTTTCTCCCTACTTCCCTTTTAATTGACATTCAGATGTCACGTTCCTTAGGGACTTTTTGCAGAGGTAAAAAGAGAATATATAAGTCACAAGCTTTCACTTAACCTGAAACCTTCTGGATGCAATACATTGTAATCTCCAATTAGTGTGTCTGGGAATCATGGAGGTTGTAATACAAATCATTTACAGAACAATAGATTGAAGGTATAGGGAATTGTGAGAATTGTAGTCCCACACATTTGCAGGAACCACTTTGAGAAAGATTGCATTGGCATCTTATTGTCAGCCCCAAAGCACCAGGGCTGCCATTCTGGAAGGGGGAGACCACCAGCCCGCCAGCCTAGCCACCTGGAGCCCACCACCATGGCAACCGCCATCACACCCGCTGCTGTCCTGGCCGTTGCAATTGCCGCGGTCCCCGGGGCCCTGTTACCTTCCTGTTTGCCCTCACCATCCTCGTCCTTGCCGCTGCAGCCTCCAGGGACTGACACTGCGGCCACTGCAATGGGCGCCACCACTTTTGCTGCCGCCTCACAGCTGAGAGGCGGCCTTGGGACCAACTGATGTTTGGGGCCTTTCGCTTGCAGGACAAACCAGGACTGATTGTTGGCTGGAGTGGGGGTGGAAGGCAGAAGTTGGGCTGTGGGTGGAGCCACAGGGTGGAGACAGGGAGGGATGCGGGTGTTCTGCCCCAGCTCCGGATCCCAAGGAGTGTCACACACACCAAGCTCCAAAAACTCCGTTTATTACAAACAGACCCCTTTCAAAATGCAGGCTTTCAGTACAAATGTCCTTATCAGCCTGCTATAAAGTACAAAGAATAAACAAAATCCGACAAAGGTTGGCAACCAGCCAGAAACCAAGATGTGATAAGAAACTCACTCTCCAAAATGCTCTGTGTAATAATTAAATGTTGTTTCCAGCAACAATTGCTAACTGCGTGCGACTTAAATAGGCTAAGGAAGTGGCCAATTAACCCCAAGCCTTACTCTCGAGGAGACCTCCTCCTCCTGAGTAGCCACTCCTGCGTGCTCAAGCATTGAGGAGAGCTCCTCCACTTCACTCTCTGCACTTGAAGGAGCCTCTGGAAGTTCTCAAGGCCCTGGCTGAGTCTCTGCCTCTGGCACCACATCCTCTTCAGCCTCCTCGCTGTCCGACGTGAGCGCCGGCTGCACAGGCTGCTGGCGTGACACCATACCAGCCTCCTCCTCGTCAGGATCAGCCACAAGCCGCGCAGGCCGCTGGCGGGCCACAACAGCGGGAGACTTCAAAAGGTGATGGGGAGCACAGCACAAACACCACTGACAATGATTCACTTTTCACTGGTGTTTGTCGGAGCATGCCGGAGCACAGGATAAAGAACTCTCACATCAAAGCTCATTATGGTTTGGAGGTTTTTTTCCCTCTGCGCCGTTCTGGAACCTGACACTTACATTGACTTAGAATATTATGTTATGATGGTATATAAATTTTTCCTACTTTCTCTTTCATGTGAGAAAAATGTTTAACTCAATTCTGTACTGTTAGTGTGATGTGGAAAACATGCCTGAATGGACCATGTAATCAGGAGAATTACAATGGAACAAAGATGCATATTTAGTTTCTAAATGCTTCCTGGTGATGCCTGGCACTTGAAGGTTCCTCTATGTTAGAGAAAACAAATCAGCAGTCTAGAACTGCTAAGAAAATCATACATATTTTTTTAGTATAACAAAGCAATGGTAAATTATTTTGCCAAATAATTTCTAAAAAGCATCCTAATAACTATAGAAATCCCTCTTGAACATAAAGTAAAAATGAGAATGAATTTAATTAACTATTTAGCCAGAAAGCCACCACAATTAACACTTACCTTAAGAACTCTGAAAACATCTACATCTAGCCATATTCTAAGAAGCAGAAGCAGAAGGTAGGCTTTGCCTAAAACATGTGTGTGTGCATCAAAACACACAAATTCACAAAATTATCATGAAATTACCCAGTCTTCTTGCATGAGAAAAAGAATGGATATATTAAAATGAACTGCATCTCAGAATTAAAGTCACTGAGTATAAAAAGAAAAGCAACAAAGTAGAATCAACAACAACAAAACCCTATGCCATGAAAAATTCAACACCCAATACCCAACAGTCAAAGTCAGTAGGTTAGAAATGTCTACTGATGGTTCTTTAGTCAAAGGCAAAAAATGCCCAGTTTGATATCCTTGAACCCTAAACTTTCTCTGTGTTGTTGAATTTTAAGTTTCTCTTGTTCAAAAGGCACTTTGGCAAACTATATTGCATCAACTAGCCATTTAAGAACAGTACACAGGTTGTACACTATTTCCAAGAAGAAGAGGACAACAGAAAAAGAGGTGGCTGGATGGAGTCACTGAAGCAGGGGGGGATGGTAGAGGACAGAAAGGCCTGGAGGAATATTGTCCATGGGGTCGCGATGGGTCGGACACGACTTCACGACTAACAACAACAATGGTGTCAAGAAAAAGAACGCAGGAATTAGACTACAGGAATAAGCCATTGACTTTCATTGTTCTGATTCCAAATATATTTCAAAACTACATACTTTACAGAAAATGCGGCACACAAGTCAACATATTTGAAATATGTCTGGTACATTTTGCAATTATGTTGGTTTAAAACTTTGGCTCAGTGAGGCCTGCAAGCCCACTCCTAGGCCTTACTACCTGCAACTTTCCAATGGACATATTTCTCTTCTCACAGAGTGGTCACTGACCTTGAGACAGACATTCTAGAATGTGAACTCAAATGAGCCATAGGAAATCTGAGCAACAACAAAGTTAGTGGAGGTGACAGTATTCCAGCTGAGCTACTCAAAATCTTAAAAGACGATGCAGTAAAAGTGCTACACTCAATTTGCCAACAAATCTGGAAAACTCAAACAGTGGCCACAGGATTGGAAAAGGTCAGTTTACATTCCAATTCCAAAGAAAGGCAATGCCAAAGAATGTTCAAACTACCACACCATTGCACTCATTTCACATGCTAGTAAAGTTATTCTTAAAATCCTACAAGCTAGGCTCCAGCAGTATGTGGATCGAGAACTACCAGAAGTACAGGCAGGATTTCAAAGAGGCAGAGGAACTAGAAATCAAATTGCCAATGTAAGCTGGATCATGGAGAAAGCTAGGGAGTTCCAGAAAAACATCTACTGCTTCATTGACTATGCTAAAGCCTTTGATTGTGTGGATCACAACAAATTGTGGCAAGTTCTTAAA